TATATATATATATATATATATATATATATATATATATATATATATATATATATATATATATATATATATATATATATATATATATATATATATATATATATATATATATATATATATATGTTCTTTATTTATTGTACGCATTCTTTTTTTTTTTTTTCTTATACAAACACTAACTAATAATTATATAAAACATAATATTCAAAATAAGACAAAATGTGAAATGATAAGCAAAAATAAAACAGTATAAGATAGTTTAAGTTTTGCTTTATAATGACTATTATGTTTTTTACAGATTTAAATATCTATATCAGTACAGAAAAGTAGAGCTGTATGATTTTTTGTTTTGTTGATTTAAACAGTTGAAAATTTAAAAAAAAATTAGTTTAAAAATTGTAAAGTTCCTTACAAAAAAAAAAAACAGAAAACTTCCAGTGAAAGTTTGCTGGGTTTTTAAATTAAAATTATTTAGTTATTATAATAATTGATTATATATATATATATATATATATATATATATATATATATATATATATATATATATATAGAGAGAGAGAGAGAGAGAGAAAGATTTTAGTTTACTTAAATAAAAACTGCATTAAAATATAATACCTGCTTTAAAAAAAGCTCTGTATATATATAACTGCTTTAAAATAACTCTTTAATATAAAACATATTTTCTTTACCATACAAATCAGAAAACTCATAAAAAAATCTATTAACTAATAATGTGGCTTCATTAATTACACTTTCAGATAATACCTTATTGTTCAACGTAAAAACAATATTAGATAAAAGAGTAAAATGGTCAAAAAACTGAGGAGGCAAAACATCACATAAAATAACAGGACCATAAAAAACTAAAAAAGTAAAAAACTCAATACCTTTCCAATGCTTTATACAACTTAATGATCATCGAGTCTGTCTTATATTGCTTGGCACACTGATTGCAGATAAAAGATTATTTACAACAGTACAGTGTCTTCTAATAGAAAAAATATAACCAGAATAATAACTATCAAATCAGAAAGAAAACATTGCTTTCATAACACCAAGCTCAATACAGTGCAGATTATTAACAACTGTTCCATTTTCACAATTAAAATTAGGTACTCTTACAAATGTAGAAAAATCTAAAAACCCTTTAATCACATTAATCCAAAAAAAATCTGTATGGTTTCTACAACTCCCATTAACATCAGAAAATGGATAAGTCATACAAGACCTCCTACCTTTTTTTAACTCTTACCCCTTGAGAAAAACACCAATGGCAACCGTTATAATCATTAAACTACCTACAACAAAAAACCATAGCTCCTGCAATTGTATCACACAAAAAAATAGATACATGAAAAAAAACACGAACATTATTAGATAAGAGTATACCAGTAGTGGATAGGTTAGTAAAAAATCAACAAAACAAGATAAAAATAATTGCATGTTTGGTTTTTTAAAACTGGACCAGAAACCAAAAAACAAAATATTAGTAATTTGCAATGAATATGGAAAATTATGAATGGATGCTAGCAAAGGCCACAAGGTCCATTTTGATAATTTAAAAACAGGAATTCCATCAGTATTAACAACAAGTCTAATTGTTGCTTGCACATTTTCTTCAAGACTTGCTAAATGTATCCAATTGTTATCACACATGTTTTTATGCTGTTTGTTTATGTTTAAAATATGAAAATAACTGCATTTCTTATAAAGATAGGATAATGTAAAATATTTCAAACATTTTGTACATTGCTTATTAGTACTTAAAGCAACTTCACAAATATATATATATATATATATATATATATATATAATATATATATATATATATATATATATATATATATATATATATATAAATTAGTAAAAACACTTATCTAATTTTTATTTTCTTCTACAGCTTGTTTCTCCATCAGTTGGATCATCAGAAAGATTCCTTCCTGATGATCCTACTGATGGAGAAACAAGCTGTAGAAGAAAATAAAAATTAGATAAGCGTTTTTACTAATTTATTATTGCTCTGTTCTTTAAGAACGTTGAGCACTCTATTTGTAGAATACACTAACATATTATATATATATATATATATATATATATATATATATATATATATATATATATATATATATATATATATATATATATATATATATACTAATTTATTATTGCTCTGTTCTTTAAGAACGTTGAGCACTCTATTTGTAGAATACACTAACATATTATATATATAAATATATATATATATATATATATATATATATATATATATAATATATATATATATATATATATATATATATATATATATATATATATATATATATATATATATATATATATATATATATATATATATATATATATATATACTGAGAGAGAGAGGGATATATATTATACATCCCTCTCTTTCAGCGAGAGAGAGAAACAGATTGTTATTTATTATTTTTAATATAAAATACTTAATCATAAAGACATTTATAAAAATTATTTTTATAAAATAATAAAGTTGAATTTAATAAATAAAATGCATTCGCATAAAGCGAATGCATAATAAACAATACTTAAGAGAAATAAACATTTTGAGCAACATACCAGATGATTTTGTTTTGTAACTTGAGTAGAACTAATAATAATTGAAACTCACACTATAGATCATCTATTAGATGCAAAAAATAAAATAAAAAGGATTACTTTTATACAAAAATTTGAAATATTATTTTAAGAAGCTATATTATCAATTTTCCAAGTTTTAACTGCTTGCAGAAGTTGTAACAGCAACGCTTTTTACATCACCGCGAAATATTTCGCAAGAAACCCAGTAAACTTCCAGCGAACTTTAAGATCACTGGAAGTTTTTTGTTGGATTTCCAGCGAACTTCCAGCGAAGTCTTTTGTTTCCATGGAAATCCAGCGAAAACCCAGTGATCTTAGTAAATTTCCAGTGATCTTTTAATTTCCAGCGAACTTTCGCTGGAAGTTCGCTGGGTTTTTTTGTAAGGGGTAACTTTAAGAGAATATATATATATATATTCAATGAAAGTATGATAAAGACATTGAAATTTTTAGTATTGTTAAATGGTCTAGATTTTTAAATTTATGGTGCTAATTAAGTTTAATAAATTTTAAAGCTTTAAAAGTGACATTGAAGATCTGCTATATTAAAATCCGTAAGTACTAAAAAACGTCTTAATTTAGATTTGAATTGCGGAAGTGTTTTTTCTTTAAAATTAACAATATGCTGAAAGTTTTTCAGCATATTGTTAATATTAAAGAAAACATTGGACAAAATTGGACCCCTGTACTGAATAGAATAAGAACATAACTTTAGATTATACTTTTGAGTTACTAAGTTATTTTCTGAGAACTTGGTGGGGTATTTATGGCTTACTTCTCTAAAATAAGGATAGAATATCTCTGGAGGCAGTCCATGTTTTATTTGATACATAAACTGTATGACGAGGAATATGTTAATTTTAAACACATTTAATGCATTGAGTTTACGTAAAAGTGGCTCACAAGGCACATATCTTTTTACTCCAAATACAATTCTACATGCATGTTTTTGCTTAGTATCAATTTTCTTTAACTTAGCGTAGCTGTTGCTTGCCCATACGATATTGCCGTAAGTTAGATAGCTATGCATGAAGGAAAAATATAAACTTTTTAGAGATCTTATATCCAAAAATGGTTTTGCTTTATACATCATTGCAATGTTTATTGAAAGTTTTCTTTCGATAGTGTTTATATGTTTCCTCCATGTTAAATTTTCGTCTAAAATAATACCTAAAAAGTTTACAGTTGTTTGCCTAGTTATATTTATATTATTGATTTTAAGATTGGGTAATTTTAAAGGGAGGTTTCCTGTTTTGGTTGGTTTGTGAAATAGAATAAATTTAGTTTTGTTAACGTTAAGTAAAAGTTTATTACAAATAAACCATTCATTTACTTTGTTTACTTCTTCATTAACTACTTTAAAGAGGGTTTTAATATCCCTATGAGAATAAAACAGTTTGGAGTCATCAGCAAACAAAATAAAGTTTAGTATGTTCGAGGTAAGAGATAGATCATTTATATAAAGAGAAAACAGTAACGGTCCTAAGATTGAGTCTTGAGGTACTCCACATTTTATTATACTTTTTGTCGTTTTAACATTTTCATATTGAATGTATTGCTGCCTGTTTGTATTTACATATGTTTTATGTTATGAATAAATTTATATAGAGAAAAAAAAAATGGCTCCATTGATTCTTCTTTTTTATTATTATTATTATTTCTATTTCAAAAGAAATAAAATGTAAGCACGGCTATGAATACAGGTTATTCCTAAAAATGAAACTTAAAAACGCAATATGCCGTAATGTGCACGCGCTGTTGGTTTCGGCTTATTTTCTGGAGGCAGATTTTTTGCGCGCCAAGTCTATATAGCTCTACCCCCTCAAATAAATTAACGTCCATGCTAAATATAGTTTAAATGTTATAAAAAAATATGAAACCATTTCAAGCGATAACTTTAAATCAATGTGACTGAGAGCCTTAGAAACAAAAAATATATTTCAGGCCGTTATTCCGCAAATACATCTGAAATAAAAATGTGTCGCTTATCAAAACCGGGAGCGACTTTACAAACCCACTATAAGCACAGAATAGCCATTAAAATTGGCCAATCTGATTCGCTTATTTTGAAAGAGAGGCAAATCCGCAAAATTGGAATATAAGAAAAATATTCGGCGTTAAACATAAAAATAAAGAAAAATAGTTCGATTTTGTTTACTTTTTGCTCATTAGTTTGTGTTTATTTATTTAAAATTGTTAATAGATTTTGTATTTATTTATTAAAAATTGGACTCCGTTGCTTACTATTTTATTTAATGTGCAATATAATTGTCTTGTATAGTTTCATTATTATTTGTATGATTAAATCAGTATCGTATTGAATCATTAAACGAGTTTATCTTAAATTACAGTGAAAGAATAATGAAATACCATGTCAAATTTTTTCAAAAAGGTTAGCGCAAAAATACTCAAGTATATTCGAATAAAATATAAATTATATAACAATACTTTTAAGACTGCTAAAAAAATACGTTAATGACTTTGAGCATTAGCAACATTTTGTTCAACAGCTAGACTGATATTTCTTTGTCGCTTAACTTTTTTCCGTTTCAAAACTTCAACTTTAGTTGGTCTTCCCATCGGCACTGGTCTACTACCACGTGTCAGACCTTCTCTTCGTCTCGCAGCAGCAGTCGGTTGCGTTTTAATTTGTCCGAATCTTCTTTTTGAGCATAATGCTGTTTTTAATGAAAACAGAGTTGCTAAAGCGCTTTCGGTGGTATTGACACTTTTCAGTCTAAGCTTTAAACTATTAATAATTTTTTTAGAATTGGGATCGATTTTAGCTAAATCTAATAACTTTTTAAATTCAAATATAAATTCTTCACAATCTGTATTTAAAGATTCCGATTGGTTTTTTTTTTCAGTACACGTCAATGACAAAATATCTTCGTTATTTGCATCGCCAGAGATCAAACAGTTTTCTTGAGTTTCAACTGCGAAAATAACAATTTACTGTTAATTTAATAAATGTAAACCATGTTATAAAATTATTATATTATAAAATCATGTATGTATTCAATATAAATTACAAAAAATTAAAACTAATTGCAGATATCAAGGTAGTTGGACCAAAAAAGACCCGTATCGAATAATAATAATTTTACATACATACATACATACTTATGTGCGTGCGTGCGTGCGTGCGTGCGTGTGTGTGTGTGTGTGTGTGTATGTGTGTTCTAATAAACAAATATATTTTCAGATGAAATAAAGTGGGCTTATATCGATGCAACTACTTTATTTGCCTTTACAATTCAATTACAAACCTAAAATATTAGAAGATATTTCAATTTCGCTTTGATCTATATCTCTCAAACTTAAAAAAAATTCTGGTTCAAGGCACTTCGATCCAAGTGCAAGCTTCCCAAGTTCGTATCTGTCTTTCGATGTAATAGGTGGAGCGCACGGAAAATTAATTTTAAAAAATTTATGTATTGCAGCCATGTGTTTACAGAATCCACCTTGCCTACCACTAGGACATGAACAGTAGCCAACGTCACTATTGACTGTATATTCGACATTTGAATTTTTAAAACTAGGTACAATGTAAGTGTTCCTCTCCAACAATTTAATAGAACTAATGTTTATTTTTTCAGATTTTTGACATAATTTGTTGTAGAATATTTCATAGGCAGAGCAACGATTATATGCAGTATTCAGAAGACGGTTGCTATAATATCTGTCCCAAACATTGACAGTATAGTCTACAAGTGCTGCAACATTGAATGCTTTTGTTCTACATAAAACAATATCTTTAAGGATTCTTATTGTTGCTTCACTAAAATTATTTGTATTGTGGTTTCGAATAATTAAGTCTTTTCTATATAACATGACAAATTCAAACTTTCTCTTGTTATAGTATTTTTTAACCCTAATATAAAACTTTGGGTGCGTTAATTTTATGCTTTTTAATTGGTGTAACGATAAGTCAAGTTTTTCGCTTGTATCAGCATACATAATCTAGAAAACAAACTTGTAGATAATTGCACTTGAAATTCCATATAAATAACTTTCATTTCAAAAAAATAGTAAACGAATTAAGAATTACTATATAATTAAGTGGTTATAAATCTATTTTTATATGTAACTTAAATACATTTTTAAACAAATGGTAAAGTTTTTGACGATCAGTTTTTGCAGCTTTTTTAAGCAACCAACGCCATTGTGCTTGTAATACATGAAAATAACATAATAACATTGTTGCTGTTGGCCATACAGAACTTAGTGCATTTTTTTCTTCACTTGAGTCATCCAGCATAAAAACTTGGGGCTCCTACAAAAAAATAGTTAAAATACAATGTAAAACATTTAACTAATAGAAATTCCGATTTAAATTAGGTATTGTGGCACTTGTAAACATTTAAGTTTAAAACCTTATCTAGATCTTTATATGTTTAAAGTTCAGCCCTTATGTAGATCAGTGTTTTGATAAAGTTCAGAAAACCTTTAGCCAAAATATATTTTCAAGAGTTATTGAAATGCTGCTTAGTTAATTAGGAATTGCTGTTTAGTTAATTAGGAAAGAGCTTGCATTTGATTTTGAAGTGATCATCCATGTTATATTTTAAAAACTCGGAAAACAGTGCATAAAACATCCGGTATATATTTTCCTAATTTTCCTTTTAACTTAGCTTTTAATGTGTGACAACTTTAAATCCAGACAAATTTAACAAAAGAATGTCTTGTCTAACGGAGTTATCAATCTTATTAATTTAGAAAGCATAATAACAGGTGAGGTTATCAAATTATAAAATATTGTTAGACATATCAAAGTTTGTCAGGATTTTTTGTTGTCTCATCTTAGCTGGTGGGTTTCTTCATTTTTCTGAAATTTTTCTTAATTTTTGTATGGATTTTCTTGATTTTTGTATGAGTGATGACTGCAAAAGTTAATAAACAAATATATTACAAAAATTTATACTTTAAATTAAAACATTTTGGAAATCCAAAAAAACTAAAACTTGAGAAAAATATCCGGAATTTTAGAAATAACCCGAAAAAGGTAATTCCTGACTTTGTAATACAAAGATATCAAATTGTATATATAAAAGAAGGTATATATGTTAACCATTTCATGTATAGAGATAAAAGAAAAAAAGATAAAGTTAGGCTATTATATTATATTATTATATTATACATATGCATACATAGAATATACTTATAAAACTTTAAATTACCTCAGATCCTCCAAAACATCTTGGGCATTCTAATTTAAGAAGTTTGAATGCTTGCTCATAATTCTCTTCAGTTTTATTAGCATGAAATAGAATAGCAATAGGGATACATCCTGCGGAACTTGATGTAGACACAATTGTAACATTTGTTTGTGAGATATCACAAGATGAGGTAGTATCTACAAACACAATTTCGGAAGAAGATTTTCTTAGTTGATTCCTTTGCATCACTTCAGTGACCACTAGTACAGACCATTTCAGATCTTCTTCAATAACTGTCACCAATGCTCCTAAATTAAAAAACACTGAAAACTGCCAAAAAATCTGGCAAGATATAAACCACCAATTGATAAAACGATATGGGCCAGTTCATTATACTTTAGCCAGTGGCCTGTGGGACACCAAAAAATAAGAAAAATTATAAAAAATAGCGAATAAGTGAAGTTAGCTGAAGAACTTTTCTATTAACCAACAAGGTCTTACAGGTTACTTTACTGATTAGCTATTACTATCAGCAATACATGGGAAAATTACAGAAAGCTTGTTACATAAAAGAACTCAAATGTGTCTATAAACATATTATTCATTTTCCAAAATGCCCACCTAAAATGGCAGCATTTTTTAGTAACCCTATTTTCTTACCTATATGAGTTAAATGCATTATTTAACTCATATAGGTAAGAAAAATTTAAAATGTAAAATTTATTGGAAAACAACGCCCCTCTAACCTGCCTGCTAACATTGAAGGGGTGAACTTGATTTTGTCATTTAATAATAATAAAAAAGATATGGTTGGTTGCCCCCTCCCTGATCTAGTCTTTATGGCTTTTTGCAAATGTATCTATTTAGGTGCTTCTAGCACAAAATAACTTTTTTTTAATACTTTTCTGTTAAAAGAACTTTGTTATTGCTTTTTTTTCAGTTTTATTCATTATATTACCTTTTATTTGTTGGATCTACTCTATACACAAAATTATATAGGAGAAATAGCTTAAATAAATGTCCCACAAAATTTTCTTTAAATTGGTTAAAATATAACGAGCTTACACATATCTGACTTTGTTATATATTTTTTTGTAATATATAAAAATACATGTCAACTCAAAGTAGAATTTGGCAGCAAACCTTCTCAATATAAACTAGGTTTTTTATTTATCATTTATCAATCTTATTTTCAAAATAAATCATTTAAATAAATTATTTTAAAATAAACTGATTATTGTTGTTAATCTCATTTTTACCTGATTCTAAGTATACATTTCTTTTATTCTTTAACATCTCTAAAGGATTTTTAAGAGCAAAATGTTTTTCTTGCCATAAATTGTATAAATAATAAATTGTACGTGATGAAGGATTAAGTGAGGCATCTGCCAAAAGAAAGGAGCCATTTTCATGATAAATAAAGTTATCTGTGTGTATACGTTTTGCTTGAGCTGGACTTAATCCACTGTTAAAATAGTTATAAAAAAGTTTTTTTGTAACTGATGACACTGGTAAGTATTTCATCGAATCTGCACATTCAATGTTATGGTTATGGTTTTTATGAACTACTATAACTCCACTAAGGGGAGGTTCTTCTTTTAGATATTGATCATTTTTCTTAGTATTTGCATTTACTTTTTTGATTTTGATATCAATTTCAGCTACACAGTATGTGTTTTTCCTTGATTTAATTTCTTTATTTAGTTTTGAATGTTGACATTGATATTTTCTATGTGCCACAAGCCTAAATAAAATACATTTGCAAGATATATATACACTTACTGTTAGTTAATGCTTATATTATTATTTATTAGCCCTCAAGACCTATAAGACCTGACTCACTATTAATTGTGATATGAAAAAAATATATAATAGCTTAGTAAAGAAGCTAAGGGGGTTCCTAACAGACAAAGAAAAGAAAATACAAAAACTAGCAATAACATAATAATACAAATAACAACAATACATACCCATTTCGTAATGTTACCAAAAAAAAAAATTTATTCTAACCCTAACTGTGTTGCTAACCCTAAATTTTTCTTAAACTGTTAGCTATTGATCGATAAATTAAATTTCAAATCATAAAAATTTACTAAATTAAGATAATATCTTAACATTAAACAAACTAAACTTGTGATATAGGCTAGAACACCAAGGCAAATCTAAAGAAATGAAACAACAATAATAAAAAGTAGACATGCTTATAAGATAATACCACCATTTTGGGATGATGATGGTAAAACTTAAGGAATGAAATGATAAAAATGGAGAAAAATATAAAAATTTAAATTTGCAAACAAAATAAAAACTAATACAAAATACATAATCCTTATATAACTAAAAATATTTAAAAATTTTTATTTAAATAGCTTCAATTTATTTTAATCAAACCTTGTTTGTATTAAAGAAAGCCAAATAACCCCAAATCACTTTATTCAAATAAACCCCAAATCACTTTATTTAAAACCACAAATATTTAAAAGTTTATTTTCTGAGGTAACAAGAAAACATTGCTTTAACAAACTTATTATATGCCAATGTTATATTTCAAGACATTGTGTTAAATAGTCATGACAAATTTAAAACATCAGCAAATGACTTATAATGGTCGGTACTTATAATAGTATAACAAAATAGAAAAAATGATACCAGAAAAAAAAATATCTCTTACTTCAATCAAGTAGAAATCCAATTATTTCCTGTTGACTAATGATTAATAAAGTAAATTTTAAATCATAAAAATTTACATAATTAAACCATGTTTCAACAGTAGAAAAACCAAAATTACAGAACTAAAAAAATGAAATAAAAAAATAACAATAATGGGTATAATACATCATTGTTTGTGTGAAATTTTTAAAATGATGTTCCTTGAAATGAATGTTATTTAAATTTAAAAAACAATATATTAAACTACCTTGAACACAGGACATAAAATTTGCCATGTAAGAAGCACATTTTTTTTTGAGATAAACATTATCAACTGTTTGATCTTGAATTTAATTTATGGTCATTAAGTGTGCTAAACTGACAACATTTTAGCGTAAAGTTTGCTCAACTGTAACCAAGGAATAAATACCCTTATACAACTTGTAGTATGTGCGTGTTTAAATTATATATATATATATATATATATATATATATATATATATATATATATATATATATATATATATATATAATATATATATATTTATATATATATATTAAATATATATAAATTATGTTAGTGTATTCTACAAGAGAGCTCAACGTTGTTAAAGAACAGAGTAAAAATAAATAAGTAAAAACACTTATCTAATTTTTTTTTTCCTTATATATATATAAATATATATATTTAATATATATATCTATGATATTTATATTAAATATATGTATCATATTTCGTGGTAAAAGATAAAATTGGTTAAAAATCCAACCTTGTAGGTTCATTCAGCTTGTATGACTTTAGCCATCTAGTGTGCGTTTTATGTCCATATTCTTCTACCCATTGGTTCGCTTCATCTTCTGATTTAATTGATGCTCGCAATTGAATAACATTTTTATCTTCAAAAATTAACTTTGAATTAAATAAAATAGGGAATGTTGAATTCATTTTTTTTAGAATCACTACCGCTGTTGTTATTAAGCAAGGTTTATTATTTTTTTTATTGCGCGAAAGTTTAAATTCCAATTTTGCAGATTTGCCTCTCTTTCAAAATAAGCGAATCAGATTGGCCAGTTTTGATGGCTATTCTGTGCTTATAGTGGGTTTGTAAAGTCGCAAACCGGGACAGATATAATTAATTATATCTTACGATAATAAATATAAAACAATAAATAAAATATAGGGTGCTGTGTGTTGTATGTTCATGGATTATATATATTTTTCTTTTAATATATTTTTAATATTTTCAATGTTAAATTTGATGATATAATAATAAATAAAAATACTATCAACAATAATAGTATTATTGTTAAAATTTTTATCATCATTATTCTTATTATTACTACTGTTGTTATTGTTTTTATCATTTGATGTTATTATTAGGAATACTTACATCAAATTATTGTTTTATCAATCGATGTCAATGGTTACTATTATACTAATAGTGTGTAGTTTTTGAAAGTCTTTTAGTATGCATTATTAGTTTTATTCTTAATTTTCATTTACAAATATGTTAGTTTGTCAAACATATTTTCAATATGGCATCATAATCATACCTTATGGATTGATTCATTATTTAGATTTTCATAGGTTTGAAATTAAACTGTATTGGAAAAAACTAGGAAAGGTTTATACATAATGCCTTCAAAACAAAAATAATGGCCATCTTTTTGATGACATGCTTCCGAATGCTGCCGAATTTTCACCTACACTTTTTACACTAATTCTTACTAATCTAAAAAATATCTTCTCTTCTATTCAATAGATTGTTTAATTTCAAAAAATTATAAATTCTGTGATTGCTATACAGAAAATTATTCAATTTATTTTTTAATCAAAAAAACAGTCCTTTTTTTTTTTTAAAGTTGTAACACCTAAATATAATTTGTTGCCATTTGGCAACATTGAACAACAAAGATAACAATAACTTATTGTTACCTTAGTTGTTCAATGTTGCTAAATTGTAAATTGCTCAACAAAGAATTTCAGTGGGACAGCACAATTTGACTATTTGAAAATTAAAGAAGTTTTTCTGTTTTTGGCTTTTAAAGCAATAATGTAAAAAATAAAAGAGAACCCAAGTTTAAAGAATGACACCCTTTGATCTCAAAAAGACCATGAGTCTAAAGCTCTTACTTATAGAAGTTTTAGAAACAGTTTTATTCCTCTTTTCAAACTCAAAAATAGTTTGCACATAGTACAGTGTATGCAATTGTAACCCATTAAACAACGCTTGCAGAAATTTTTGTTTTTGTGGAAAATGTGTTTTTTTTGGTTAATTATTTAAAAAACAATATATATTATTAACTGGCAAGGGCACTGAAGCTTTGCAACTGGACTTAGATGTTTATTTTCTAACCATTTTGATGGTCTTCCAACTGGTCGAGTGCTCAAGGCATTTTTTGACATTGTAAGTGCAAATGCAATATTTTGCAAACTTAAGAACCTTGTTCTGCTTCTTTTCATCAACATTTCATCATCATCACTAACATTATCATCATCACTATGTCCTCACTTAATTATGTGGGGGAGGGGAGGTAAAACTCCCCTTAAAAACAAATATATATTTGTTTTTAGTTTAAAATTCAATATATATTTGTTTCTATTGCCAATACTTAAAAATCACCTTCTCCAAAGGTGATTTTTAAGTTATTTTTATTTTTTTTTATGAACAATTATGTTTATTGTTTTTTTTATTAGTATTTTTTGGTTATAATTATATAACCAAAAAATACTGCCGTTAATGTTCAATTTTGCCAAACAGCTACAATTTTGTTTGCCATAAAAAAAAAAAAAAATCAAATACGTATTTAAAAAAAATCAAAATACAATTTTTTGTTGTTGCAAATTTTCTATAATACAAAGTAAAAATAATGTTATTGTTTTATAAATTTAAATGTAATGTAAAAAATATAAAGTTTTTAATGTAATTTTTTTACTCTGAAAATTAATTTGTTAAGTAAATAATTGTTTTTGCTTAAATATTGTTTCTTTTTTTTAAACAACACCTATATTTCAATGTTGTTCTAAATGCTGCCAAATTCATTCAGATTATCCTATTTATGTCTGAGAATCTTTCCATAGTTTATCATTGCAATTCCTCTCTCTGCAGTTTTATTTGTGCACAGAAGGTTTTGAACAAAGAAGTTTCCTCTCTGAAAAACTGATTTTTCCCCCATTGATCTAATGGTTGCAAGAGCAATTATTAGATCTATCCAATTGGACAATTAATTGATTGTATATAAAGCATCTTTAGAGATCGGCCCAAAAAAATAATACAAGAAGACTTTAAGTTTAGGACTCATTAAGAGTGTTGCCAATCATCAGCAATATTAAAAACATTACAATATTTATCAGCAGTAAACAACTAAGTTTTATTTTGAATCAAATTCATCTGCAACTTTAAGCTTCAAGTTGATACAGAAGATAATTCACACCTAAGTGACCAAAATTAGTTGTTTTTTGTCAAGACTGAAGTATATTGTAGTATCCTCAGCTAATAGTACCACTTTTGATTGCCATTTATAAAGATAAGAAATAATGTAGGATCAAGAATTTTGTGGTGCACCACAAAAGTTACTGGAAATGAAAAACCTTAATGCTTCTGTTAGAAAGAACTGGTTCAATGATTTTCCCAGATACACCATACAGAGAAAGCTTATTGAGAAGTCAGACTATGTTAAAAGTTTTTAACATGTCAAGAACATTAGCGCTTGCCTCATCATCTCCTTTTAATGCACAATAGAACTTTTCTGTAATAACAGTTAAGTTGTAGATCAAAAGCCATATTGAATATCAGAGAGCAAGTTGATAGACTGAAATCGAGATATTAGAAATTATTTTTTATGACATAAACCAAAAAAAATCTGCATGTGTTCTGATGTGACGTTTACGGAAACATAACGCATTACTTTTAATTAGCTAATTGTTTTAATATGTCATTGTATTTGTGTTATTCAAAATTTAAACAACTCTGTTATCAAAACAATTAGCTTTAAATGAAATGTTACCAAATCAAAATGAGAAGCAAGAAAAAATTGTGCATTTTCTGGTTTAAATTTCTGAAGTATCAAACAAAATAATTTCTAAAAAGTTGCAGATTGCTTTGAGAAGAGTGCAGAGCGTTGTGAAACAATTTAAGGACAAACAAAAGGAAATTAAGTGGTAGAAGAAACAAAGTTTATGTTTGCATATTTTCAATCTCTTCCTGGACATCAATATCATCAAGGTTCCATGTAAAAGAAGCTAAAAATATCCAAGACTTCAAATATTAATGGAATAGAGCTTCCAAGAAAGCCTAACCAAAAACCGTGCAAAAGCTGATATGGAGTGTAAAATGCGTATAATAATAAAAAATGTCTTTTTAATTATTTTTATTTAATATTTAATGGTTAAAGATTCAAAGATCTATACAAATAATATAAGAGTAATTTAACAAAAATTTTAGGCTTTAGTGCTAACAGGATCAGTCATGTCAAGTTAGGATAGAGTCAAGCCAGTGTGATAAAGAATAAAACCACTAATAACAGCAATATTAGCTAAAAGAAAAGATAAAATAGGGCTTAATCAATTTGGTCAGAAATAACATTGAAAAAATGTCAGTCTTGGGAATATCGAGAATGATAAAAAACAATAAGAAAGGTAACTAATGGAGTGTTGAAAGCTTACTGAAAGGTTATTGAATAGATAGTTGAAAGGTTATTGAATGGGCAGTTAAAAGGTTATTGAAAAGTTATTGAATAGAGAGTTGAAAGGTTATTGAATGGAGAGGTTCTAAATGGAAGCACACAAAATAATAGTCAGAAGATTCAAGATATAACAGCAAATAAGTTATTTGATACATAAATAACATAAATAGATCAAACAAATGATTATTTTCATTGCTGGTCAAAATGTAATAGCTATCAACACTGATATCTGAAGATAAACAACTCAATTCAAATAAGTACCACAAAGAGGAAAAATGATCTGTTGAGTTTTGCAGGTCTGGTGAGGTTATTTTAAAGACCTTGAATATTTGTAAAAGATTGAAACAACTAGGTTTTTATGTTTAATATTTTTAGCTATTGTAATGTTTTATGTTTATATGCAACCATGAAATTTATATATTAAAAAAACTTCAGTGAGTTACTAAATGTAATCAGATATATAGTTTGTGAAATAATGTAATAAATCAACATTTACAAGGTTTAATGGAACACTTGAAACAAAAATATTTTATATCACTTACGATGGTTTGTAAAATAGTATATTTTTTAAAAGTATTTAAAATTTGTATATAAACTCATTTAATATTTTTGCATCTATTTTTTAGAGAAAAAATAAAAGTTGCTGTTGCTATTAAATTAACATTAGAATTACAATTGGACTGTATTATACAATTTTTTTTGCGCACAATATGATTAAGTATAAAGTTTTTTTACATCATAATAACAGATTATATACTTCAATTAAAAATGAAAACTGTTTTCATATACTAAAACAGTTTTATTCTACAAGAAAAAATAACAATCAAAATTTGTTTGATATATACAAAAAAAACCCAAGCTGGTTAGGTGTATATAAAAGACACCCTATTTTAAAAGAAAAGATTGATCAGAGTGCTATAAGAGAAAAGTTTTTGCTTGAAAAAAAAAAGGAAATAAAATTAAATTTATCATCACATATAGATCCACTAAATGCTAAATGGACACCAGAGTCAATTCGAGTTGGTGCTCTAGGAATAAAATTGGGTGTATCAGTTTTATGGACCAAAAATGGGTTTTGTCACATGGTGACCCTAGTTCAAGTAAAATTTTTTTTTTTGTGTGTTTAAATGTATTGATATATATTTATTAGTTTTATAACTTTGTCTTATAATTACTCACTGTGCTCTTCAGAGACTGCCCGGGTAAATTTTGGTTTACTCTTAATTTTTTTATTTATTTAATATTGGGTTAAATAAAGTATATTAAAATATTTTTTAATCTAAACTAACTTTTAAACATAGAAATTTTAGATTAATTAAAATGTCTAAAATAAATTGTGTCATTATATGATTACATTCTATTCAAGTTGGTTCAATATTTATTGTTACAGTTAAAAGCAATCATATAAAACTTATATTTTTAAAACTTATTGTCAAAATGGCTGTCAAAAAATGTCTAATTTGTGCATGTTGCTTTATTTCCTTTGGAAAAAGATCACGTAAACTTATTAAAATAATTTCCACAGTACAATTTCATATTCAAAAATTATTTAGGAAATAATATGATGTAGAATAAGAGTGTTGTCGAAAAAACATTTGTAATTCTTGATAAATGAATTTATATTAGAGGTGCACTGATGCATCAGCATTAGCCTGCCGATATATCGGCCATTTAGCCGATGCCGATTGTTTTGAAAACTTTTAAAATTTAGTAAATTCTTATTAAATAAAACTTATTAAACTCAAAACTTTTTTATATACAAAACATTTTACATTTTACACAGAAAAAGATCTTTACAAAAATCATTCAAAATTTACTGTAAATTAATATAGTATTTATAAATCAAGATATAGATAAAATATTGAATTACAATAGTACGATTTAGGATCTGGTTTCCTTAATTGTACCGATAGCACATTTTTTAAAATTTAGTTTTTTATCGAATACTAACGTTTAAAATTTGACATATTTCAACTTTTTTAGAACAGTTTATCCCCAAATTATAAAATACAATAAAGTCTCATTGTTGCTATGTATTTTTTCTCTATTTTTGACTTTATTCTTAGAGGGTACAATATCGGCAACCTTACCCTAAATGCAATTTATAAGCCTTATTAATAATAAGTTTTATATAGGCATATATGCAACCACACAACCACTAAACTAAAAATTTTTAAACTGCTTTTAACAGGGTTACCTACTTTTTAAGTGTTTTCTTATAATTTATAAGAAATTTTTTATTAAATAATAATAAATTATAAAGAGAAAATTGCTTTAAACAAAGATTTTTTGAAACTCTTTTTGTTATTCTTTACGATCGAAATGTTTCATTACATTTATATTAAAATTAAATAATAATAAAGTTTATTAATAAATTGAAAGCGTTTAATTTAATATAAGTATTGTTTTATAATTTAATTTCGTAAAAACATTTGCTAAAAATTTGTCAATTATTAGAAGTAACAACATCAAAACCTTCAATTCATTCTTTATAAAAAATGAAATCATTATAATTTAACAGAATGAAAAAAAAAAAAAAATTATTTATAAAACGAGCTTTTCAATTGAAGTAATTGCTTTAATTATATAGAAAACAAAAAAATAAATGGAAAATCAACTACAACAGTAACAATTTTAAAATATTGTTTTCATTGTCACATGATATATTGTATATTTCCATCATATATCCAATATCAAAGCCGATGCATCGACATTGACCTGTACCTATCGGCATTGGCATTGGCAAAAATAGGCATTGGTGTACCCCTAATTTATATGCATAACATCAAAATTAAATGATTGGATTAAGAAAATATCTCAAATTAACAGAGAAAAACTCAGAAGAGTATTTGATATTAGTGAATATCTGAACAGATCACAACAAATAAAGATATTGTTGATAAAATTGTTAAAAAAATATGTCCTTTTTGCTTATTTACAATAGGTATGATTTTCTTAAACAGTTTTAAAATAATTTTTAACTTAAAAAAACTTATAAATATAAAAAACTTATATAATATTTTAGTTAATAAATTGTTTCTTCAATTATTGTTAAAAAAAATAAATAATAATTTAGCATCGAATCTATGCCAGTCTATGATAGACTTATTTAATATTAGTGTATTATTTTAATATATTTTACATTTATAATGGCAGAGCTTTTCCTATTGCTGTAAGAGTAAAGCTGTAAAAAACCTAATTATGTTGGCTGAAGGTCTTGGAAATGTATCCAGTAAGTAAGTTGCTTCTGGGGTTCTCAAAATAAAAATGAAAAGAGACAATATTAAATCTTGAGACAAGTTTCCTTTAAATCCTTTGGAAACAACCTTCTTGTTGTTGTTGGCATACATCATAATAAATGTAGCAGAGCATCTGTTAAAAAGTTATCTCTAGAAACTATAATGGAAATCTCTAATTCTCTAAGCCTGAGTAAAAAAAAGACTAAGCTAGTTTGTAAACATATGCAACAAAATTTAGGGAAGAAAATGTTAGAACCTTATATAACAACTCAGATAAAGGAGCTGGATAATGTATTTTCAGATTTTCATGATGTCAAAACTGAATCAATCATTTCAGGGGATAAGAGATAAGTCACAGTTTTGGTATTTGTAAAAGATACTTCTGATTTAATTTTTCATATGAATAATGAAAGGTTTGAATCCTTATTGCACTATTTTTAGGATTTCCATTGATGGTGGACAAGGTTTTCTAAAATGCGTTTTTAATCCACTATGTAAACTGTAATAATAAATATATATTTATTTTTCTTATTGTCTTTCTAAATATCTTTACTCAATATATATACATTTGCAAATACCCCTGAGGGTATAATAAACAGTATAAACGTTATATACAATATAATATACAACGCGCCCACAACATTCCTTCTGACACAACACATTAATAGTTTATATATAATACAATTATTTACACTAATTACATACAACTCCGGAAAGTCTTGATGATTCTAATTACATACAGCATACAACTCCAGAAAGTCTTGATGATTCTGGTGTAAAAAGATCATTGGTTTTGGCTTTAGTTAATGATGTTTTAGAGCATAATGGTAATATTAACAAACTATTGAAACCACTAGCTCTGAGTGATGTAAAATATTCAACAGCATTTGATCTAAAATGTGGTAACTCTTTATTTAGTTTAAGCAGTCACAGCAGCAAGTATGCATTTTTCTGGTGTGAAGGGGAAAGCACTTTTGAGAACGAAAAAAAAAAGAAACTTAGGTTCAATTGATATCAACTACAACAAGTTTGTTGAAGATGGATGCAAAAAAAATCACATAATGGAATTTAAAAACTGTATTTCTATTAGAGTTGCGCATCTTGATAAACCTCTAGAAACTTTAGTAGAATATCTCATTCATCCACCAGAGTTACACATTCTTATTGGTATTGGTTCTATGTTTGTAAAAATATTAATTACACTGTAGCCTGCTTTTGATTCGTGGCTCAAGTCAAGTTATATAATCTTTAGGGGTTACCACGAAATTGGTTTGGATAGAGAATGATTTATTGAATATATATAAAATCTTGTGCTGAATCAGTTTTGGATTTTAAAAAAACTTTTAAAAATCTGCAGCTTCATCTTCTGGAAAAGTTTAACTACCAATTAAATATTTGCTGGATAGTTCATATTTTAGTATGTCATCTTGTTCCTTTTCTTCAGCATAGTTAGTTTGGGTTGGTATATACTGAGCAGGCAGGAGAAAGTTCTCACCACTATGAAGTATGGAAGTGATACAAGTGTTGTTTAGAACACAATGATTATGCAAAACAGCTTAAGAAAAGTATGATTCAGTTTGGTATAAACAGTTTTAAGTAGTAGTTTTTTTCTCTCCTTTTTTAAAAATTTTAATTATTGTGATCTTTAAAATGATTGAATTATTTTATAGGGAATTTCAATATTTTATGTTAAACTGTTACATTTATTTCATTGAATTTATATTGTTAACTCTAAAATTTATCTCAATTTTATCATAAAAGATCTCATTTTTTTATTTCAAAGTTGTATTCTTTCAACAAAAATTGTTTTAGAGGTGTAATACCCTATTAATTTTGAAAAAAATCCACACCCTCCCCATATTACCCCTTCCCCTCTTTTTTATTTTAGGTATAAACTATTTCTACAAAAAAATTTTTAAAAGTTAGTTTAGATTTTAAAAATTATTTTAAAACACTTACCTAAACACAATATTATTAATTAAACAAAAAAAAATTAGATTAAACCAAAATTTACTCTGGCGGTCTCAGGAACAGTGTACTAACTTTAATAACTAAGTTTTTTATACAAGTTTTTAATTTCGTGTTTCGGTATTTAATTTTGCATTTCACAGTGAACCACAATAACTGCCAGGTTTGATGTCTCCCCACATCCAGTTTGTCAGTTTTTCTTATTAAGAAGTAACATAGTATATAAATTATGTAAACACCTCCATAGAAATGGCTAGAAAAATTTTTTTACACTTTTTTACAATTTTTAAATCTAAACTTTAGATAAAAAGGAAAGGGGCGGTACATGGTTTATTTTATTGTTTTATAATTCACATAATTTTATGAAGAAACCTAATTTTTACTGTGTTCTTGTGTGCTCCTATATTATAAATGCATTAAAAAGTGTAAAAAAATATTATAAATGCATTAAAAAGTGTAAAAAAATATTATAAATGCATTAAAAAGTATAAAAAAGTAGCTTGCATTATTGTTTAAAACTTTCTTAAACATTCAATTACTGCCAATAATTCAAGCTTTCTTTGATAAGCAATATCACAAGCAAGAACATCTAACTTATATAAAACGTTATATAAGTTAGATGTTCTTGCTTGTGATATTGATATTTGTTGGCATTGTTGCCATCAAATCCAATGCCATGGTAAAATTATGTAATTTGATAAATATGTAAAATAAAATGGTAAAAATATGTAAATATGTAATGCCTCTGAAAAATATGTAGTTTGAGATTAACTACTTTTCAAAGCCAGGCCATAGTTTTGACAATAGTTTTCCTAAAGTTTTAAATATTCCGTTAATGTATACAACTCAGGTACTGGAACTAAATTTTATATAATTGTGTCTGGATCCTCTTTAAGATATAATACTCATTTTTAATAATATTATTTTTATAATCAGCCATCTTTGATTTTGGTTTTCCAGCTTCTGTGTATTTACTGTAATGATAATCAACAGAACGAAGAGTCCGTTTTTCTCCACCATCCAAAAGACTCTCTCCTTTATACAACAAACAACTATATTTTCCAGCATGGCTTGTAATGCCAAACATTGAGTTTGCACACTTTATATTAAGTATTCTGTTACAAATGTACCAGAATACTTAATATTTTGAAGATTAGGAGTATAAATTAATTTTCTAAGATTTCCATTTTGTTCAGAAACTCCTCTACAATAGCAACAATAAAACAACGCTTAACTCCAGTATTATCAAGGTCAGGTTGGTTGTTACTTTTATCACAAGGATTAAAAACATTCATAGTGACCTTTAATAAAACCTTGTCCAGAATTTGCAGCATTTTCCTTTCCATTTTCCATGACAGGTTCTGTACTTGCTGATCCTAATGCATATGCTTTATTAACTAAATTTTTCACAGCTTGAACATCACTACAAAGATAAATAATACCTGATTTAACAACTCCAAAAACATTTTAGGCACATCCTTTCATTTTTATCTTCATTTAACTCAAAAGTAATAATGGTAATATCTTTTAAAACATCTGAAGTTCTTCTGATACCTTGATGGTTTATCTAAACAAATAAATCTAGCTATATAAACTAGTATAAATTAATATAAAAAATATAACACATTATTAATGAACACATCAATAAAACGCCGGTATTTGATTAGCAAATTATAGCTATTTTATTGAAAATGGCAGATGTTTTTAACTAAAAACTATGCTTTTTATTTTTTCATTTTCATATATTTTTTCATTCCCCTAGAGGTTTTTACTAAATATTTATTTTTATATATACAACCAAGTATATATTAAAAAATTCTGATGTGGGCAGACTTCAAACCTGGCAGTCACTGTGGTTCAGTGTGATTTTCTAATAATTCCAATAAATTCTTTGTTCAGATAAAAGATTGTCAAGTGATTGATACACAAATATCATGTGAAGATGGTGGCAACGATGGCATCACACAAATGCTTCTTGGTTGCTGTGATATTACTGATGATAATGTCCTTGCAAAAGTATATTTTGTTTGTTAAATGTGACCACATGTATTTATATATTTATATAAATATTTTTATTTATATATATATTTTTTATCTGGTATCAGTATGTATTAGCAACCCCCCCCCCCCAAAAAAAAAAAAAAAAAGCAAATAGGGTGGTTTCCACACTTACTGTGAGTTTAACAAAAGTTATTATATTATGTTAGATTACTCTAAAAGTAGAAATTTATTAGAAATGAATTTTTGCAGCCATCAATGTAGTACTATAAGGGTTAGTCTAAAATTATTCTCACTCTGAAATTTAAATCAATAATGTATTTATTTTGATCAAACTTTTAAAGCGCAGTTTTCCATACTTATCGTAAGTGTTTCACACTTATCGTATATATTGTCGACACTTATCGTATATCTTAAAATCTGCTTTAGTGACTGGTTTATAATGCGCTCGCGGTTTCAAATGAAAATTTAATACATTAGTAACATTTTATTAAACGTTTTTAGGTATATAAATTAAAAATATATATATTAAATAAACATTAATTATATAGTAATGAAAATATTATTTTGAATTAAAACTAGAAATAAAAGATTTTTAAAGCATTTCCGTTACTTTAGTACAAATCTTTTAAACTAGAATGGATAGAGTTTCATCATAATTATCTGAGTCTTATTTTATAATTATTGTTAACAATGGAACTCGTTTTCTGACTCAGTTTCAAGCTTACTTTTTCTTTTGAGTCTTTATTTTTCTTTATCAAATTTTTTATATTTTCTCTTTCTTTTTTAGTTTTTTCATCCAATAACTTTTTCTCTATAGCCATTTGTTTCTTTCTTAATCTTTCTTCTTCTATTTTTGACTTTTTATCTGCAGCTAATTGTTTCTTTCTTAATTTTTCATCATTTATTTGTGACTTTTCTTGCAATTTTGTCTTTTGAATTTGCTGCCACGTTTCAGATGTTACAACCGATGGTAAACGTTCTATTTTGCGCTTGGACGTTTGGACTGGTTGTTTTGGCCATATTAAAACACTTTCAATTGGACTTATGATTTCTGCTGCTATTTTCAAACTAGAACAAGCTGGTTTTGGTTCTATATCCGCTGCAATATTGCAATCAGGTATTTTCCATACCGGTTGTAATTTGCACATTTTCTAAATTACAAGTTGTTGATAGATTTTTATTACCCTGTTGTATTTCATCAGGTAAAATTGTGGTCTTATATGTTTCAGATGCGGCTATTTTCCAAAAAAGGTACAACTGGAGATATTCAAGGTCACCTTTCCAACCTAAATGTTCGTAAGCTATTTTAAACTGCTCTAAAATACTTGGATCAATGAAGTTTTCAATAAAGTTTATGGGAGAGGAAGCTGATAGAGTCACACTTGATTTATTCTCTTCTAAATAAGGAGTCGGAGCCACAGTTGACTCAGATAGTCTTTGAACAATTTTTGTGTAGTCCACACTATTAGCATCTAATGGAAATTTTCCGGTATTTTTAAAACCACTTTTAACATTATTTGCTTTAGAAGGATCAATTATAAATGAATTTAATGCTTCTGGTACATTTTCATTGTTTATTTCTTGTCCTTTATGGTCAATGCGCCATTGTCGGCTTAAAGATTTCCACTTTGCTTTCATTGGCCCAAAAACTGCCACATCGAGCGGCTGCAAAATATGTGTTGTATTTAGGAACAAAGCAACGAGAATTATTCCATTTTTAGAGCAAAACTCACTAAGTTCGATAGAAAAATGTGACGCATGACTATCAAAAAAAAAAATAACTGGTAAAGGAATTTCTTCTTTTATCAAAAATGGATGAAAAATGTTTGTAATATACTCAAAAAAACATTCTGCGGTCATCCAACCATTTTCACTTTTTCCAATACCCCATCCTGATGGAGCAGTATTTATAATTCTATTTGGAAGACGAACATATTTAAAAATTGTTAATGGTGGAGCAAAAGTTCCGTTGGCATTTACTGCAAATAAAGTAGTGATACTTTTTTTATTACTTCGAGCACTTTCTTCATATGTATTTTTTCCTCGTTCACCAATTAATAAATTAGTTTTTGATGACAACTGAAAACCACTCTCATCCATATTGAAAACGCGCATCGAATCATTTAAATATTGAGCGTTTTCTCCTAAAAGCTTTGGAATTTCAGTAAATCAATCTGTTATGGCTTTTTCAGTTAATCCTCCTCTAGCTTGGTTTAAGTATTCACCTCATTTATGAGATAACTGTTCGTGACGGCGAAGAAATGCATAAAACCAACCTTTTGCAGGACGGTTGTTAATAAATTGTGTTTTTATATTGTTGGAATTCAAGTATTTTTGCATAGTATTTAATATCTTTACTACAGACATGGCAAATCCCATTCTGGTGCATGTTAGTAACCACTCGACTAATTTATTTTCAATGTGTTCACCTAGTACCGATTCATAACCGCAGTGTAGTATCTTCAGAGAAGTTTTTCTAGATATTTTATCACGAAGCGTCTGATAAGGAATTCCAAACGTCTTGCTTGCTTTGTACACAACCATACCTTTTTTAACAGCATTAATAGCATCTCTTAATTGGCTATCTGTATATTGAAGTCTTCGTTTTGAGCTACAAACTTTTGTCTTGTATTTTTGTCTTGCCGTTGTAAAAGAATCTAACTGAAATTTTTATTTTTATAGTAAAAAAAGAAACAAATTGATTATTTATTGGACATACGATATGTATGGAATGACATTTTTTTAGTTCATACTTATTGTACGTTCAAAAATACTACATTGATACTATAATGATGAGTGATTTTAATAATATTAATAATGATCCATGTTTTATTTACCTTATTAAATCAGTTTAGAAATAAAATTTTATCTTATCTTCTTAAATTATCTTGTTTTATTTGAAACGCTTCTAACAGATGGTACTTAAAAAAAAAGTATTTTCATAGGCTGACGTAATAAGCCCACTGAGTTTATATAAGTAACTATGTATTGCGGTTTCTATGTATTGTAATAGAAGTGCATGACGATGTTGTTGATAAACAAAATATATATATATAAAAAATAATTACTACTTAGTGCAAAATTTATGTTAGTATTTAAAACCAACGATAAGTGTCGACTCACGCTAGGTGTGGAAACGACCCTATATTATTTTATTATCAAAATTGTATTTTTTATTGTATTTTTTTATTATTGTATTATTAAAAATATTTGTTATGTATTATTTATTTACTATGATCTGATAAAATTATTTTCATAATTATAAAATATTAAAGAACAAAAGATGAACATTAAGTCAAAAACTAATAATAAGTCAAAAATATTTGTTGTTTTCTCTCAGAGAATTAGTGAAAGAAGTTGTAATATTGCTGGTTTAATGTGCTGTTTACATATAAATCAGATTTAAATGTTTACCATCTTTGTTAGATAAGTTGCTTTAACGTCGGAAAAGAAGTATATGTATTTTTATTTCTACACAAGAGTGACCTAGTTATATGTCTGCTAGAAGTAGAAGCTGCATCTATTTTTTTTTTCAATGTTAATTCACCTCCCCAAAGACAAGAAGGCCATTACAGATGAGAAGGCTATTTAATTGTGGTTATAACCCTCTCTTAACTCTATAACTTAGAAATACAAACCTTAACAAAAGAAATACAAACCTTACAAACTAAGCCACTGCGTGGAGAAATAAGTTAAGTGTGTTACTTACTTACGAACTCAGAACCTTTTGCTTCTGAAGCAATGTTCTACCACTTCACCACTACCACATTTGTTTATAACAAGCAACCATGTGATATCTTGCACCAACAAGCACATATTGTGATATCTTGCACCCTTTTTTTTGTATTAAATTAAATTTTTAAATTAAAAAAAATAATTAGTTAAATAAAAAATAAAAAATAAAAAAAGTGATTAAATTTAAATTTTTTTAGTTACCTCGTGACCATGTTCTATGGTATGATCAACGAAACTTGTTTCCAAAACAATACTGGACTGGTTTTCCTGTTACTAAAAATGCACTGCTTTTTCCAGGTTAATTGACTCATTATGCTTTTGGTTTTATTTCATATATTATTCTAAAAAGATAATTATTTTTTTAAATAAAATTTTTATTAAAAGTAAAACTTCATGTGGACAAAGTTAGAGTGTATAAGGAGGAGTAAGAGAATTATAGGCAGAAAATAAAATCAGGAGGTAGAAAATTTCAAGTTTGTTTTTCAAAAGCAAAACGCTAGTTTTGAAATAGATAGTATATATGGTTTCCTTTAGACATCATTGGTGAATGTTAATGCAGGTCAACAAAATTTTTATTGCGTAAGTTTTGGCGCTTGCTTATACTTAATTTTGGTTTGCTAAATTACATCAGATTTTTTATGGCAAGCTTATTTTTCAAAGTTTAAGTAGTTAAAAAAAGTCAAAGGTAGACTAAATTTTTAAGATATTTCTTTAAAGTAGATTTAAATTCATTTATATATGCTTGGGAATAGTTTTAATTAAAAATAAAAATAGAAAACAGTTGAGTATATAATTTTTATGTTTTATGGAGGTAAAAATAAAGTTTAATTGTATCAAAAAATAACCAACTTGTGTAAGGGCAAAAAAAAGGATGCTAAACCAATGATGATGATAATGATGATGAACTAAGTTAGGATCTGAGACCTGAGTATTGAGAAATATTAATTTTTAAAATTATTTATAATATGCCACTGTGAGAGTGTTGCAAGTTAGCCATTCTTTTTGTATCCAGTGTTGCTTTCTTGCTCAACTGTTCCACATTAAAGTTAACCATTTTTAGATCTACACAAATAATCCAGTTGTGCTCTGTATATTTTATCAAGTTAAGCACTATTTTAATGTTATGGTAAGTTTCTTGCAAATAAACAGAATGGCCAATTAACACAGAACCAAAATTACTACCATTGTTTAAAAGGACATATTTGAGGTTTTGCTTTTAGCTAACAATAAGCAGTCTCCATTCTGTTGGATTATATACAGAAATACCTAACTGTAGTAGAAGATCTGAAATATTATAGAAAACATATAAATGGACTGAAAATTTTTTTTCCTCCCTCGTTTTAAAATAGGAAACTTTTGCAAAACTGTCAAAAAGATTTTTTCCTTAAATTTAAAAACTAATAATTCTGCTTGCTTAGAAAGTCTAAAATTACACACTAAATCATTCAGCTCCATCTCACCAAAACACTAAGACAATTTCAAATGTTTGGCAATAGAGAAGTCTATCAAATCTAATAATACTAATAATAATAAGTTCTCTTGCTTATGTAGCAAACCTGTTTGTTCATCATCTGACAAAAATAAACCTTTAAAAATTGGAATAGGAAAATTTTCAGAAAGTTGATCTAATAGCAATAGAAGGAATGTTGGGATAAGCTATTTTTTGCCGGTTTAAATTTAATAATAGATTTTCTAATACTTGGTTTTATAGAGGTAATATGGTTTATGGGTTCTCCCCACACAATTGGGACTCAAAAATTTTTTGTTTCTTTTTTCCAATCTCAAAGACTCTTTTTGCAAAAATGGCACGATATGTGATCACATAGTTTAATACAATTTAGATGCTAGTTTTATAAACTTAGTAATGTTTTGTCTTTGTCTGGCATGTGTATAGCAGTCGCATAATGAGTTAGAATTATGTTTACACCTATGTTGATTTTTTTTTTTTAACATCTTTGCTTCCAACAAGGCTGCAAGCAACCACTAATTAGAGTTGGAAGTTACTGGAAAAGAAAAGATGAAGATTGTAGAGCAAGATAATGATTGGCAGACAACTTCAAAGATTGCAAATTACTTGAATCAAGAAAGCAAGATGAAAGAAGCAAAATCCAAAGAACTAATGTTTGAGGAAAAAAACTAGAGGAATAAGAGTTTTTAGAGCAATTAGGAACAGTGATAGAAAAAGGATGACTTATTTTAATGATGAGTAACACGAGAATGAATTTTAGTAGATAGCACAAGAGGCGCTAGCTTTTTAGAGTAGTGCTTATTATAGTATTTGTAGAAAAGAGTAAGAGAAGCAACATTACGACGATGTGATAATGGTTGAAGGTTGGCTACAAGAGCAGGTCTAACTATGTTTACAATACATTTTTGCACCTTGTCTAAAAGTGAAAGGGCATCATTAGAAGGTCCGCCCCAGATATGGCAACAGTATTCCATACAAGGACAGATTTAAGATTTATAGAGATTAAGGAGAAAATCTGGAGTATAAAAGTGTTGAGCTCAATAAAGTGATGCAACCTTAGCAGATGCTAATTTTGCAACGAATTTGATATATGGTATCCAAGAAAGATTGGAAGTAAGAGTTAATACTAGAAGATGAAGGGTAGACGACTCATCGAGTGCATTACTGTTTATAAATATAGGAAGGTTAAGTTTTTGTAATAACAATTGGCTGAAAAAATTTTTTATTAAAAAAAGAGTATCTGAATTAAAGTTCACCAGCCACTGTGAACCCCATGCTCTAGCAGATCCTTTTCAATCTTAAATGCCTCCCTCCTAGCAATCAGAGAGCATTTGCTTCTTCTTCTGAATCAAAACGCATTCCAGAATCTTTGAAAATAAGGATAACAGATGTTACTTTCCAGCAGGCTAGAAAACATGACTCTGATATGCATTTGTTGGATAGTTTTGAAAGTAAAAACGACAGATAACACTTCTGTAAAACTATAACAGGTATGTTCTCAGGACCAGAAGCTGTAGAAAAGTCTAAGCAAAAAATCCTTATAGATACAGAAACTGGAGTGGTACGAATATCAAGCAATGGATCAACCTGTTTGACAGCTATATCAGGTAGAACGTAACTAGTGGAATCAAGAGATGATATAAATTTCTTAGCAAACAATTCAGCTTTGTCTTTAGGTGTAGTGACAAAGTGAACCATACAAGAGAGGTTAAATAACACCTCTTCAAAGTTGAACCACACAAGAGAGGTGAAATAACAGATTTATTTTTATTATTGATACTATAAAAGATTTTTAAGAAGTCACAAGAGCCTAATTTTTATGATGAAATACGAGATTTCATGACCTAAGAATAGTGGGCTTTGGCATTAGACATAACCTTTTTACAATAGTTTTTAGCAGTAATAAACAGACGTCTGTTTTCTGGAGAATTTTTGTGCTGATAGATATGGAAGTAATGGTTTAGATTAGCAATTGCAGCAGCAAAATGTGAGGAATATCACAGAAAGAGTCCAAGACAGCTTTAAGATAGTTATAAGAGGTACAATGATAGGGGGATTCAAATGATGAAGAAGAATGAGATAATAGTTTTAGAGAGATCAAACTGTGATCAAAAGCACCTAAGGGTGAGTGTGGAGAAACTGAGCACTGACTAGAATCCGTAACAAGAGTTTAGTCGAGTAGAGAAGTTAAATGATTCGGGTTGTCTGGAAAGTGAGTTGGAAAGTTGACTATTTGAGTTAGGGATTGAGAAAGGCAAAAGTTGTAGGCTTTAATGCCTGCAGAGTCCCTGACAGAGAGCCAAGCCATTTAGTGCAATGAGCATTTAAGTCACTGTCAACAACATTTTTAGCTGATGGATAAACAAAGAGAGCTTAGTAAATATTTTCAGAAATAACATCAAAAAGAAATGAAGGAGAGTGATATAGAACAAAAAGAAATATGATAGAATGTAGTGGTGATAAACGAAAGCACATAAAATTATAGTCTGTGGATTCAAACCTAGTTTCCTGACAAATGGGTGAATTCTTACGAATGTAAATGCCCAAACTAACCATGTGACTATTGGAGTCTTTACGAAATAAAGGAAGATAACCATCAACACTAAGATCACAAGATTAGACAGCTGAACTCAAATTAGTCTCACAAAGAGCAAAGTCTGGTGAACTTTGCAAGAGATAAGACTCAACAGAAGAAAAGTTATTTCAAAGACCACGAGTATTAGTGAATGATAGATTTAGAAAACTTGGCGATGACAATGGTTTTTTTTGTTTTATAGTTTTTGGTACTTTAGGTATTTTAAATTTTATTAAAGAACTTGACTTAAAGCATACAAAATTCTCAATACACCATTTAATAGCCTAAACAATTGCCTCATCACTATAAAGTCATAACAAAGGGCTCCAAATGAGACCTTGACAATGCACACTAAAAGAACAAACAGGGACATCATCTGTGGCACTGTTTATACTCTGATATTTTTCAGCTGTTGATGGAATTAGCCTCTTTGAGAGCTTCCACAGAGTTTGAGAAATCTGACTACCATCTGGCCTCAGAACCATAAAAAGCTGTACCCTCATTAGGAGATAATAGAATGAGTTGTTTAGTCATAAAAACAGTGCCACAAGCAAGACCTATGCATTGAAAGAAGATCCAGCATTCAACATCCTAAACTGGAAACAATTTATTAAAAACACATCTGCGCCAGCCTAATAGATGAAGGGGTATGAGGCACAGTGGGCCTAGAGGTGGAAATAGACAAAAATATTTGTTTGAGGCAAAAAAAAATAATTTATTCAGAGTCAGATAAATTTGTGGATGAATAAAAAAAAAAAATGTTTATAGCTAATGTCTAAGTGACAATATACAATTTTGAAGTTGACGAATTTCCAATTTTTTTGTGTATCTATAAAAGTTTAGTAAATTTGATTAGTTTCCATGGTTTCCACTCTTTATTTACCTACATAAAAATTGATCAAACAATTATGTAAAAGTTGTTTTTAATTTAATATGGAATATATTTTTGAATAAATAAAAAGTCTTTTATTTTCTTTAACTTTATTTTTTTTACAGCTTTTAAAACCTAATTATGTAGTTTTGTTATAAATTTATGCTGTTATTTTTTACAAAAAATCAGATTAAATCTTAAATTTTTCCTAAAGTGCTAACTTGCCTCCATTGTGTCATACATTTTTTTAATATTTAACGTTTTTTCTTTTCAAATATCTTAAGGGGAACTGAGGCAAATTAGCACTTTTTTATATTTGCATGATTTAAAAAGGTTGAACAGTGATTACTTTTTTTTTCTTAAAATATGTGAAGATTTAGTTT